ATCAGACCAGAAGGGGTCACTCTGCCACCATCACTGTATTGGCTGTACACCCTTTGTGTGGCCTGACATGACAACCATCATACAAACACAGAATAATCTTGAATTTAAATCAAGTGACTTTGATTTGTTGTGAGCAGTCATCCAGGACTTAGTTTTTACCTGTGTAACAAGCTTTCTACCAATCTGTTGAGCTGCAGTATGTGAATATGTTTTGATCAAAATGACACCTAAAGATTTAAAAGTTCAAACATCTGGCCAGGTGTTTAACCAAGACATACAGCTCAGTACAGAAACAGAAGCGTTATGTTTTTCCATGAGCTTTGACATAATAGTTTTTTATATTTTCCTCTGATTACTCCTCTTGTGCTGTCTCTGTCTCTCACGTGCACACACACATCCTTGTCTCTCAAACATAAAAGCCTCACTCACAGATATTCCAATCATTTCTTTTCCGATTGCTCACCACTTAGCTGCACCTGCTCCATTGCCTTCTCTCCTTTTACCTACCTGGGGGGAAGGTGAGTGATGAGGCTCGGGCAGGGAAGGGCTCTGATTTGTATTAATTTGAAGGCCAATCTCAAGGGAGGGAGCAAGAGGGAGAGCTAGAGAGACAGAGAGAGACATCCCCTCAGACCCCTCTCCATCATCCCTGCCACTGCAGCTGTACAGAAACAGGAACCATCCAATCAATCCACCTCTCCCCAAAGGCTTGTCCAATCAGCCCAAGACCTGACACAGAAATTAATCACTTCACCATCTCTAACAATGAATGGCACCAAGCCGTGCATGGAGCTTTCAGAGGAAGGGCATGCAGAGAGATGCATGTATGAGCGCAACAGCCCTCAAATCCACTCACACGGTCCCCCATTTGTGGACATTTGAAATTTCATTTCGTTGAAGCTTGACAGGATAAAAGAAAACACATGCTGAGATGAACACATGCCATGAACAAATCAGCAGTTTATCATCGTATCTATTCCATATCATTTGAAGATAAACCCATAAGCAAGCGCGCCCAAAATGACAGCAAAAGTTCTTCACTGCACAGGAAAACTGCAGCAAGTATAGTGGGTCAAAGTTTTACAAGGAAGTTGGTTTGTAAAGCATGATGGGTGTCTTATAACTGACATACTGGGTAATAATTAAAAAGTCTGCCTTCATTTTCTCTTCCTGGCATATTTGGCTAAAAGGGGGTGTAAAAAACCAAATGGTTGGTTATTACCTGCTGCAGATTTTTGGTTTTTCTGCAGATTTTCAGTAAGAGCCCACATGCCCCAAAATTCACAAAAGTGGAGTTGCAATTTGTTTTCTCCATAAATACAGATCTTCAAAGAGACTGATGACAGTGTGGTCTTTCCAACTGGGAGTCAGGATAAAGGGTAGTGTTACTAACTCAACACCCCCCGACACACACAGACACACAAGCCATCAGTGACCATTCCATACATTATTACAATACCATGTGTTGCTTTGCTAAAGAGCAAAGGTAATTGTGCTTGGGAACAGCTTAAAGGGTAATTGTGTGTGGTGTGCAGGGTGTCTGCAGATGGCCCTGCAGGCACCAGAGGGGGTTTAGGGGGTTGGGGAGGATGACTGATCAGAGCTTTGAGGTTGCTTTCAGATCTCCTCTTCATCACCAACACACCCCACTGGTATTTGACAGTCTGTGAATATGGATGTTGACAGTGCTACAAATCTTCCTTATGCTCTTTGTTGGTGAAGAAGGAGCCTTAATCTAACAGCTGTCTATCTCCTGTAACAGCAGCATCAGTTCAGTGTTGATGCAGAGCAGGTGTGAAGCTGTTTCCCCTCGACATGTCTCTCCAAGTAAAGGCAGCAGGCTCAGCGACATCAGCTCTGAACTTGAATGAAAGCCTGAGAAGATGCAGCAGCTAAAGCTGTCCCGGTGAGGATTAGCCTTTGACAGGAGGACTCAGTTACACCTTCTCAGCATCAACACAGAGCTGGATCCTAGGTGGAGGTGTCCCTATCCATTATCCAATGGCATGCAGCTCCTAATGTTTTTCTGACCTACAGTACATCATAGTTAAGTCTTGGCCTACTGTATATTCATTTCAGTCTGACTGTGAAATGTGTTGGCCCTTGCTTCTACTGACTGACAGACTGATTATACCTACCATCTTTGTGTAGGTGGGCAGCAGCATTCTGATGTGAATTAACTGCCTTTCCCTCTATATTCTGTTACCCTCCATCTTATGAGAAAATGTCATGGCCTTATAAAATTAACATTTCAAAACCTCTTCAAAAATAGATCAGGGAAAAATTCTTCTGAGGGAAGGTATTTAACAATTATATGTGTTGTGTACAGTGGCAATGAGCTGCAAAACACGATGGCATTTCACAAAACACAATGACCAAAGACACAATGCAGCAACAAAAACAAAACACAACAACATTTCAGGTTACAGAAAAGGTAGGGACAACGCTGCTTGCTCGTGACTGTACAAAACCCAAGTCAATCAAGATCAGTTGATACTACACAGACGTTAAGCCTCACTGATGCAGTTTGTGAATGTTGATGCTGCTGGGCAAATTTTCTACAAAGTTTGAAAGGATGGAAGAAGATTGCATAAACAGCATTTCAGTGAGGAACATTAAAGTAATATGATATTGTTGATAACATAATAAGATACTAAAACATGTGAAGACAGCCTGAAAGAAGCAGCTAGGCCCAACAGGAGGGAGAGTTTCTTCTGAATCCATGTGGAACCCCATCTGGGACACATCATAGATTGTTTAGCTGCATTTACAGTGCTCTCATTTTATTCTGCCACTCTGCCCCAGAGTCTGCAGCATTATTACTGGGGTGTAACACCAGGACCTGTTGAATGATGGATACCAAAAACATGCCATAATGTGCTGCAAGAAAGTGAGATCCGGGTGGCAGACTGTCATTTTACAGTAATAAACAGCAGTTTGAGAAAAGATGCTTTTATATAGACTGATGAAAAATACTTGATGTATTTGTATCTGGATGTCACTTTCCTACCACAAGTTAACCGCCTTCCCTGATTACCTATTGACTTAGTGAAATTTTGTAAAAATGAAAGTAGTGTTTCTGTCTACTTTGAAAAAGCTGAAGAAATGAACTCTGCTCAGCAATGTTAACTCCTTAGTTTGAGTCGCACGTAGCTGTATTTGGTTTTGCTTTTTGCATCTAACTCTGAGGAACCACATTTTGCTTTAAGCACAGCAGTGGGCGTGTTATGGATTGAAAGCTGAAACTTTGTCTTTCTTACTGTCTATCAAATTAATGTCACCTGCAAATGCTCAAATATGTAATTGATGACACTTTTATGGATCTTTTGGGCTATTTTCAGTAGTGCAAAATATTTGTCATGGGCCATGGTGCTAATTGTTTCGTGGGACCTTGGAATCAATCCCACATGTCCTACTTGGCACGATAGATTACAAATGACCCAACAGGCCATGACTGAAACAGTCCCTCCATCCCTGTCCATCTTTATGAAAGCAGTACAGTCTACCCACTTTCATCCTGCCAAGGGACACATGGGCAAAAACATCAATCAAGTAATGGCACATATGGGCCAGAGCCTGACAGATAAATGTGCATTTTCAGAATGAAAACAGGTGTGACCTTTTTTCCCCATGTTTTCACACTCATTGTCCTTCATATGAGGTTCTGAAGCCCTTCTGCAGCCACAGGCTGGTTGCACATTGACATGTTTATAGAGGATGTGTCCTGTAAGCAGACCACAGTTAATAAAACATAAGCATTAACATGATCATATTTCCATTGCCTTATAAGTAAGGGCTGGCTAAGTTAGCTTTATAATAAATGATATTAACTGGTCTGATTTTGCATCCATGTAAATCCTGTGCAGGTACAGTATGTTACCTTGCACAACCTTGTGAAACTGACTAGCTGAAAAACTAAGACAAAAATCTGATGAGGAATCCCAAGATTACAGGCTGCCAAAAACACACAGGGCTTAAGACTGTCCATCATCAGTGGGAATCTCATCCCTCTGGTGGGAGAAGGCACTGCTTGAAAAACACAGGGTATGCTAGGAATGTCGATACACTTCATCACTCTCTAACGTGGCCCCATGCATAGGTGAGATGTCCTGCAATCTTTTATGTTGGAGCAGATGAGAACCAGCCTGGTGTGTTACAGCAGGATAAAAACATAGATGTGGAAAGTGCTGCACATCTGCTATAAATGCTGCTGAAAGGGGTGACACCTTCTAAAGCTCGGCAGCATATAACACCCTCTATTCTTAGAGCCACTATATTCTCTGTTATTACTGTAATAGTGTATTAGGGGGGCATCATGGAGTCAGATATTTCCCTCGGCAGCTGGTGGTGACCAAAAACACAGCTACAGGAGAGCAAATATTGGATTTACATCACCAGGTGGCCAAACGTGATGTTTCCCATATCAATGTAAACACTGATCATGTCAGTGTTGTGTTCACAAATGAATCAAGTGATGTCCATTTGGTCATGCTCAGCAACCTAAACCTTTCTGACCTAAATAAGAAATGGCATAAAGGTGAGTACACGTATGCATGGGGCCACGTTAGAGAGCGCGGGCCTCCTCTGCCATTTGTGTCATCAAACCAAAACTCACTAACAAAGTGGGGGGAAAAACAGACACAAAATTTGCACAATAGACATTTGTGTTTGAAACACTGTTAGGAACTGTGACAGACAGAGCCATTTTTATCTTTTTTATCTCATCCATCAGTTACCCCCCCCCAAATAGGTACCACTGGATTTCCTTAATGCTTTATGCTACAAAGAATATTTTTAATGAATAGTTGTAGTACAACTGTTATTCATGACTGGCCCTTGGTAAAATGGCTGCCATCTAGGAATGTACCCTCAATGAGAGTGCAGGAACACTAGCCTACACTGAGTGCTTTTTACAATTCTCCAAACAACTCATCCTCTTGCCACACTCTTCATTATTCTTTCTTTTCTGTTTTGTCTTTGTTTGCTGGTTCAAGAACACACAAGACCCGGGGTCCTTGTGTTTGTGCAGACATCAGCTGATTTTGGCTTTGCCTCAGGCAGTGAGGAGCAGAGAGAGATAAAGAGAGAAGAGAGAAAGAAACAGCCAGAGAGAAGGAGCAAAGTCATCCACATGGAATTCGAAACTGGTGCAGGGTATGAATTCTTCGCTGGCCTTGAGTGCATGCATGTCCACTCCCTCCCTCCTTTGCTGTCTCTGTCAGCCTCTTTGCAGGTTTACGGGTGTAAAGGAGAAGTGCCTGTGATGGCTGATCACAACATGACAGCACAGAACACTGACTGCCTCTTTCCACCTGTCTTCATAAGTTACACTCTGTCTTCCAGCCTCGTTCAGCCAGCCTGCTGCTGGGTCTGAATCTGCAGGCTCATTTAAAAACACTTAGCAATGGGCGGATCATTTCACTGGCCTCCTGACTGCTATTTCTGACCTCATTAGATCACATAAACCACAATTTTATGTAAACTCATTATGCCTTTACAGACAAGAGTGAGAATTACATAAGTATCTCCCACTGGATCTTTAAACAACAACAAAAACCTTGCCAATCTGTATTGTTATGTAAAGGGATAGTTCAGCATTTTGAAAAATACACCTATTTGCTTTCTGAACAGTTGGATGAGAAGGTCAGTGCTAATCTCTACTCCAGCAGGTAGTTAGCACAAAGAATATAAATGGGGTGGGGCTTGCCTGGATCTCTTATAAATCATTTTTTCCAGCCTCCAATTCTCACTAATTAGCACATTATATCTGGTTTAATTCATATAAAAACCAAAGTGCAAAATGGATGTGTTGTGGTTCTACCCCCATGTTTAAAACAACTCGAGGAAATTACAGCACTGATAAAGAGTCTGGCACATAAACCCCCTAAAACCACAATGTGACATTTTTACACTTCTGTTTTTGTAAGGATGAGATAGGAAGTGTTAGGTAGTGAGCTGTAGAATTCAAACCAATCGGAAGAATTTAACTTACCCAGTACCATCACCATCTCATCATAGCGACCTATAGTGACAAGCACAATAAATCAGACAACTGCTCTTCAATTCCTCTATTTGCCTTCATCTGAGAGGTTTCAGAGAGAGAGAACTTCCCCATTTGAAATCAGATCAGTTACAGTAATGTAGGTTAATTCTCTTACCTTCACTGTGCTTAAATATTAACAAAGCCCCCAAGAGAAACCTCTACAAATAGATAGTGAGGTATAATGTTAATCAGTCAACCAGAATTAAATCAGGATTATCCTGATAAAGCTGTATAGCTTACACAGTAGCATTTTTCTAAAGGATTTGGAAAAATGCCCAAATATGAGCAATCACGTCTAGACCCAGCGCTCATAAGTAACGTTACGTCTGCAAAAGAATTTGCTAATAGGTCTGTGTGGAAGGGCTGAGGCTGAGTGAAAAGCAGCTGGCAGAGACCACAAAGTCAAGAAAACTCATGTAACCATGACCACATTTAATCAGCAGCAGGTTCGTTCACAAAGACAATGAGCAGTTCATTAGAGTCACTGCTGAGCCAGTGGTTTGAAAAGGAAAACAGTCATACAGCCAGGCAACAAAAAGTAAAAAAAAAAAAAAAAAAAAAAAAAAAGCTGCTTCCTGTTAAAAAGATTACTAATAACAGCAAAGATATACTGTGTTCAGAATGATCCCAATCACACTTATAGTAATAAACACAACAATGACTATAGGATCATTACTGAAAATCTTCATAATCATTACTATGATAATGCTGCAATAATAATCCATCATTTCAGGCATGAAAAGCTCTCAGTGCTTCACAACCAAGTGAAAATCAGACAATATACAGGCACCTACCAGTAACACACATAACATTCTAAACTTGAATTCATCTTTGTTGCTGGTGACCCTCCCATCTTGACTTTGGAACAGCTTAAAAGGGCAGAGAAGCTCTGGGGGTTGTAAGAATTTACAGCATGCATGTTTGTGCCAGGCTGTATTGATTTGTATAGTGCTGCTAGCTAAACATGCCTCTCTGAATGGTCTGAAGACAAAGAAATGAGACAGTATAGCCAGTCATGCTGTACAGTCTGGCTACCATGTACATTTCATGCTTCCGTCGCCGTGGAAACCCGGCATCGGCTGAGCCTGGAGGGCGACAACAAACCCTATACTGGAGGAGAGAGCTCGTTTGTGCCCTGGTAGCAGGGTTGGCAGACAAAAAGAGACCTTTTCTTTTCTGCTATGACAAAAAACTCCCACTGTAGTAATTCTGCAGCTGACAGCACTCCCCTGTATGCCAGTGGTGTGAAAGTCCAACTAAAACAAGAGTGAATAGTCTGGATCTGGAAGATTATTTGCCTCTCTCCATGTTTGCTTTTAATGAGAGATGCCATTCACACCTTTCAATTGCTTTTCATTTCTGCTATTGCTCACATCTCCCCTACACAATGTGCTGCCTTTGTGTGCTGAATTAAACCCATTGTATGTGCAAACCTTCAGCTGCTCATATCATGATCTCTCATTACTTGCCTTTACGCAGAGAGAAATTTGTTTCAGCTCCTCTATAACAGCAAAAGCATGCATTGCCATTACCTGCCCTTTTTATATAACCAAATAAATGAGCATTTAGTTGTACCATAAACACATGATAAACAATGCTGGCATGGGCAGACGTGGACTCTGGATTAGGAGCACTGTTTTGCAAATAACACCTATCAGACAAATAACTTGATACTAATTCTGATATTATAGCAGTATTGAATGTATACTTTCCAACCTGTGCTTGATGCCAACATTTGAGGCCTAACCCTCACTGCCACTGTGAATTTTTATTTTGATGGTGAAGCCACTTGGGAACTTGTTTCTGTGAGTTGCCCATGCAGGGCAGACGCCCAGTACCGCTGTAGTGCCAGATGGTGGTTCATTAGATCCTGTGAGTTGTGTGTTTGGTGTGAAGCGTAGGAGGAGCAGGGCAGATGTTTGTTCCTATTAACAGCCAGACTTTAAGTCTGGCTTCATCCCTATATAATGCTTCTACTCCTCAAAGTGCCAGAGTGCCTGGCAAGCAAAGAGATCCTAGAATGCAGTGCGGCGGGAGGGCACGTCGCCTTTTGTTTGGCTGTTGTTTTAAGTCGTGCTCGCTTAAAGGAGAATAAGTGTTTGTTTGTTTAAATCCCTTTAGGCAAGGAATCATGCAAAGCGCTTTACAATATAATCCAATCCAATAACTACACAGCAGCAACTGTCAATACACTACAGTTGAGTCACACCTCTCTGACAAACAAACACTGAAGATTTCATTGTGTATTGATAACTGAATGTGTTACTGTAGTGTGATGCAGGTTACACGTGTTCTTTTGTCAGCACTACACAGACTTGAATGTGTATATGACATATCATCACCCTAGCACTCTAAGCAGCCACATAAGATGAAAGCTTGTTCATTTGTTTTACAGGTGAACACTTCTTTTTAAAAAAGCCATATTTTGTGCTTTATCTGTAAATTCATTCACATCCCAGAGTGCCTTTCAACAGCCCTTGAAAGGTTAACTGGTCTTTTTTCATTCATTAGTGAATTACTGTGGAAAAAACAACAACAACAGAATAGTGTTAGCAACAGCAGAGTTTCAAGCCAAGGAACAGTGAGCTATGGTTTTTACTGCAAATACAACATGCACTGTGGCTGTATCACATTGTCATCATCCATTTAAGCTACAAATGACAAATATTTTCCTCGATCACACTCCAGTTCTTCCTGCGAATACATGACGAGACAAATTGGATCCAGAAATGCAAAGTCATTTACAGTACAACTGGAGGAAGAACATGATGAAGACAACAAATATATTTATCTCAGGTGATATAGGATACATGATTGAACAGCTGACATGTTATGCATTTTATTAAATTATACCATTTTTAAACACATATCAATCCTGGAAAGTTATTTCCAGTATTTAAAGAGTGGATATGGAAAGCATGATTGCCAGTGCTCATACAGTGAAAGCAATCATGGAAAAAATTGAGCTGGCATACTGTTCCTGGAGGTTTAATCTTCAAGATTCAAGTTTCAAAGAACTCTAATAATCCCAGGAGGAAATTGAATCTTAACCAGAACCATGATTACAGGGCCATGGAACATACTACAGACAAAAAAAAAAAACATCAACTACATCAGAAGGTTTTTCTTATTTCTACTCTGAACTAGTTAAAATCACATGAAAATTACCTGCAAGGTGCATGTGTTGGCTGTTTGTTCATTGTCCGTGTATTACTGTAAGTGTACAGTACAATAGACCAGAGGAGATTGACAGGAAGACAGTTGAAGCCAAACACGCTCAAGCACACATGGGCAAAAACACACACTGCTGTCTCTCAGCCCAGGTGACTCATTTCATTTAGTGAAACATATCACAGGGGGAAAAACACAAACTCAAAAGGAATTTGAAGTAGCACCATCCAACAATGTAGCCTATATAATATCTAGATTAAGATTAACATAAAACAGAATAGTATCAGTAATATATTGTGGCTCACTGGCCTCCTGCCATGTTATATGTCAGCCACTGGTCCTCCATAGCATGCAGCTCTGCATTGTGGGTGGTGTGATAGGAACCGTACCTCTTTCCATGCAGATGTTGTGGTTTGAGCTCCTCCAGCTGCTCACAGACACACACACACCTACAGTAGTGTTGCTCTTTCTCCTCTTCCTGGCCCATTTACATTGTCACATGGTGTGCAGATAGAGGTCGATGAGTAGAGACTGAATGAGAAAGGGCACAATTACAGTAACCACAAGCTGGAGAAAAGCAGGTGCTACCAGAAAAAAAGTGGAATAAAGAAAACAATCATATGGAACATTTTTGCCTTCTGTCCTTGGCTGGAGAGTGCATAACGCTGAGCTGCAGAATCTTCAGGCTGGATATGTTCTCACAGAGGAATGCAGTGGAAGGCATGTAGAATGACACCTGGCTTTGTTGAGCATTAGGGGGAAGAGAGGAACAAATTTAAAAAAAACCCTGTCTCTGTGTTCATATCTCCTCACAGATAAACACAACACGTGCAGAAACAAACTCTACCTTACATAACAGAGAGGCTGAATGGAGGAGGTGAGTGGCGCATTAAATGCAGGTATAGTTAAATTATTTGAGAAGAGAATCTGTTGTACCTCAGGGATCTGGCAGGCTGAACGCTGACAAGCTCGTCTTTGACATAAAGATCATAAAAGCTTTCCACCTTTGTTATTACACAGGCAGCATGGTGAGCACTTGTCAGAGTGTTATGCAACACCAGAGAACAAAGACAAATAAGTTGTAAGTAAATAACACACAAAGGCACATCTACCTTAGTGTTGTTCATAACTGACCGAATAAGCAATTGATATCAAACGGCCTAGAGTCAGAGGTCAGCTTTAACATGCTGGTGAAATCTTCACTCACGTCTTGTTGTGCAGGTTAATAACTTTACACGTCACCTAGGCAGTTGCTCAGTGTTCCAAGGTCCTATCACAGTGCTATATAAATAAAATTTGTATTTGATACGATAGATTAAACTAAATATAAATGACTTCTTAGTCTATTTTATTCATATTAGTCTATCATAAAGTGCACAGGTATGATGCCATAATGCATTTATACCAGCCAGTATTAAATCAGTGCAGTACGTCTTAAAGAATGCATAAATATCATAAATACTCACCAGTTGAACAGGTTGATGTAGTGAAAATACTGCAGTTAGAAATTATATTCTGATAACACACTTACTGTATGTGGATGAGAGTCATATCTAAAAGTCTGACCATGTTATTTTAAAGGAAAAATCAGCAGAGTAATCTAAACCAAACCTATAAAATAAGCTTTGATGGTGGAGCTTTGGTCCCACATCATAAACTGAGCTGTCACTGGTAGAGGAAGAACCGGACATTCATTTGTACTTATTGAACCAGTTAATGAATTATTCAGGAAAATACCAATATTGAAGGCCTGCCTCACTGCACCTAGTGAACATTAAGTCCTGCTATTAAGCAGACTAATTAAAATCACAAATCTAAACCTTCTGGTCTTTGTTTTATTAGGGTTCATAGATGAACATTTATTACATTTGTTGACAGGTTGAATAAAGACATAAATGTCACCATCTGGAATGTGAAGCGGGAGACACTAATCGCTGATCAGCTTCACTGCAAGGAGAGGCAAGAAGACAGAATTACACATCCCCCAGTTGGGCCCAGAACATGAGAAATTTAAAACAAATACTGCTCCAAGAACAATTTAGATAATGTAAATGGCAGTAATGATGTGCGACAAATGTGTTTTTTAGCCCAGCTAGCAGGCTGGCTCTATACATAGTAATGTCTTATGACAAATACTTTAACTAATATTCGGTCTATCACCCCTTGGTTCCCAGAGGACGAAACCAAACGACACCCTGTGGTCACCACGAGATCAAAACTTTAATTTGTTTTTGGTTTATGACCAAATATCTGCAAAACGTCCCATTTGACTAAGCTGTTTTTGTATGTTGTGCTAATTTGCTAAGATAAGAGGGTGACCATGGGGCACATCAAGTCTGTTACATGCACGTTTCCCTCACTCGCCTTTTCCTTTGATCTTAGTCCTATCCACATAATATAAGAGGAAGAGGTACAAGGAGAAAATGTAGTGAAGTCAAAGTATGAAGTATCAGAAAATGAAATACTCAAGTACAGATACCTCAAAGGTTTACTTAAGTCACAAGAAATGTACTCACTTTTGATGAAAATACAGCAGGCCGACCATATTTCTCTGTGAAAAGAATAATAATCATATAGGCTAATGAAACATACACAAAATAAGCAAGCATCAGACAAACAGTTAATAAAGGTCCTTATGTTAATCTTACCTTATGTTAATACTAAAAGGTTCTTGTGCTCAGGATTCACACTTTATCATGTTGTGTATTTTCAAATGCTTGACAATCTCTCTATGCACAAATGTTAGCTACAAATTTAAATGGAAAATAGATAAAGCCCACTGGAAAAGTTGTTAAATTATGTCACATACTCATTTGCATAACGAAGTGGCCTACTATACTGTGATCACTTTTTGAGCCAGCATTTTTTTTTTTTTACACAATATTTAAATTGTATGAAAGCATGCTGTATTTACAGGAAAAACTCTGATTTTATAATTTATTAATTGATACCATTTGGCTGTTGGAGTCTGTATTTAACGTGTGGTCAAAGTTCCATTTTTAATTGCCTATTTTAGTTTAACAATTACAATTTGTGATAGCATTTTCTAAAGGTCACTTTAAAGCTCCATCAGTCATATTATTAAGACTTGGATGGCTCCTGAGGGTACGTACTATCAGAAGCTCTGCACACTGGTCCCTTCATGTTTTTAAAACATTAAGGTAAGATTAACATATCGTATCTATGGTGGCTAAGGAAATACAAGGATATATCATGGCTGTAAAACAATCTTAGATGACAAAACAGCAAGAACCCAATGTTAAAGGTATTTAATAACCTTATGTACGTATGAAGGCAAAATTACTAGGGGAAGGTAATATTCAAAAAATGATAAGACAATTTCATGATGCATGTTGTTTCCAACAAAAAAAAAGATGGCCAGATTTTGAGTTTGGTCACTTTGTATATAGGTTAGTGTTACATGTGACCAAAAAGGCCGAGAAACAGCCAGCAGCAACCTAATTTTAAAGATGGCTTAAGTCCAATTTAACGTATTACTGCTACAGCTTTACCAGTAGATGTTAGATTTAAGTTAGCACATCTTGAGTTACACAATATATTAATTTATGTTTGTTTTTATAAAAACAAAAATAAACTTCTGGATTTTTAAAGGGAGTTTCTTTCTATCAGCAAAATAAACAAGTAGCTTATGAAGTGAAACAACATGCGCTGTCCTTGGTGCTGAAGAGACAAATCCTGAACTATCAACTGAAACACCGACCTCAGCACCTAAACCTGTCCATCTTCCAATAACAAATAGTCTGCACAAACATTCTTCAGCTTCACATTTGTAGTTTTCACTCCACATTTATTTCAGTTACATGTTTTATGAATTTTTTATGAAGATTTTACACAAAATGTGCTTATGAAATAACTGACAACACTGCTAGTTGTGGCGTCTCATGTCACACAACTATAATAGGCAGAGGCACATTATGATGCACTCTAGAATTAGAAAGGACTGTCTAAACAAAATGTACTTTTCCAAATAAATGTTCAGGGCCTTGCCAATTTTTTCTGCCTCGTGCAGCACAAAAAACCTCTTTAATGTGAAAGTGAAAACAGGATTCTACAAAGTAATGCCAATTAAATAAGGATATGTAATGGGAAATAAATGACTGCATGAATATTCACCCCCTTTAAGTAACTGAATTGATCATCACAATCATATTCATACTCCCACCTTAGCCAGCCACTGGGCTCCTGCTTTCCACTGAACTTGGCCACTTCACCTAGGGCCCAAAATGTTCAGCCCAGCAGCAGTTTCTTCTTTATTAGGCCTATGAACGTTTGTGTGTCCCTCTGACTTGTCTATTTGTTGAATTATATGAACTTCAGGGACAACACACATGGCTGGCTGTGCTGTTTCGGCGTCTGACATTACATACCTATGGCAGGTAGAGGCAACAGATTGCGTGTTAAAGAATCATTAAAACAAATAGTCCGAACAGTCCAAGCTCCGTTTTTCTGCACACACAAGCGGGAGAAAAGCGGAAGCTCGGGCTGAGATTGTAGCGACCTACTACCTGCATTGAACGGACTGAACAAACATTGGTGCCATTTTGTCTCAAACTTTAAAAGATTTGCGCCCACTACAAACCCCAATCCAGCCACTGATAATCAGGTTGTGCTCCTTTTGCCCGTGCCGGCATGCCACTTATTACTAAGTGACAAGGGCGGGGGAACTTATTTGATTGCAGGCGGCAACATGATGCTGATCTTTGCCAGCTGGTAATAGCATTTCCAGAAAAGAGGTGATTCTTTCATATTAAGCAATATGATGTCTCTGCACGATGTCTCTATATTTTTGCCCTCTCCAGCTACATACATGAGAGGGTCCGAATATTAGGAACACCTCTCAGTATAATGTAGTCCAGTACACCACCATTTAATAGTAAAAATTGAATTTCACCAAAAATGGAAACACTTGAGCTTCATAAACACAGATGTTAAAGCAAAAGTGTTGCTTTGAATTTCAGTGTCAGACAGCTGTACCTAATAAACTGGCTGCTGTGAAGTGAGTGAAGACTGTTGTAGTAGTAATGTGACAGAAAAAAATAAACATACCAAATATTAAAATGTACCTAAATGGCTCTTACAATATGGAACTAAATGATCATGAGCTTATTGTAAGGCAGTGACCTCCTGTTATATTACACTTTCACATCTGCTCCACAAATACAAATACATCTGATATATTACATCCCATATGGAGAGAATAAGATGAAAAAACCTGAGTGTGCAATGAGATGTGACCAACCCAAACTTATAGTCACATTTTAAAAGCTTTTACATGATGCATTCAAGTTAAATACGATTTACTCAAAATAATCAAAACACCAAAATAGGCAGGAAACACAGTGATGCATGCCTGCATGGGGATAATGATAGGTCTGTTCTTATTAGTTCCACATGGACACAGCATGCACTGTTTTACAGTATGATGTGGGTTTGCCACATTCAAGGCATCAGTCATTCCTGAGCTCACTGTGCCAACGAGAGCATCCCAACCACATTTTGCATGTGACCTTTCAGTGTCTCTGTATCTCCTCCTCTCACATGAAGGATTGATTGCTTCTCCAGTTAAGCTTTTATTGCTGATGATGGGTCAGAGGGGATTGTTTGTTATTCGTGACTCTACTCCCCCACTATCATACCTACTATTTACCCTCCGGACATCAATATTCCCATGACCCTCAAAAACAACCCCTCTCCTCAGTCACACAGACCATGCCAGGCTAATGCAACTTTATATAATAAATAGTTGCATTTAAAAAAGAAAAGAAAAAGTCAGCTTAAAAGACCACCCACCACCCACTCACTCAACATCCTCCTCACAGCAGGGGCTGTTTTCACTGTAAGAAGCCGATTGAGAATCAATAGCAGAGCTCGCTGTTGCTCACAGGCTGAAAAGGACAACAGACAAGGACATCTCTGCAAATGAAGATAATTCAGCAGCCACATCTTATCTATTTGTTCCTGTCTTTTTACCAAATTTGACAGTGAAGCAACAAGCACAGAGAATAGGAGACACGAGTCTTCCTTTTATTCCCACACACAGGAGGTTCGCTGAGCTTTTGTCTCTGCTGGATGTGCCAGATATTCTGCCAGCAGTGACCTTTCTGGAAAATGATTTTTCTTCCTCAAATTTTTTTTTTTAACTTACTGATTTATTTATTTATTTTTAGTTTAACCTTTCTGATTTCTACTGAAGCCAGGCAAGTGGTTTATAAGATGTCACCCTTCACTGGGCTACGCTAAGAGGGTGGTCACCTGTGACTTGACTGACAGACAGTGACAACCTGTGGGGACCTGGGAGGCAGATGGAGGAGAGAGATGAGTGTCTGCTGGTTTGGACGATCTTTGCTCCCCCCACCCCCTTCTTTCCTTTCTTTTGTGTTATGTGTAGGAGGCAGTTCCCCAGTGAGTGAGAGTGAATTTCACAGTGCCTGCAGAGGAGAGATGAGCTGCTCAGATAAGCAGTGCAGGTGAGAGAGCTTATCCTGCCGTTACGCCTCGCAGGCACCCAACACAATTGAGATTTTGTAACCGTCTGACAAGACCAAAGACAAACCTATTGAATTTTCCTTTGTTTTCACTGTCCTCAGTTCTTAACATCTGATTAGTGGCTAGTAGTATACTAGGTGCATCTAGTTTTGTGGTAAAGGTGGAAAATACAGCATTAAGTTACTGAACTACGACTGCCATTCTGAATAATGCGTAGACAGAGTTTGCAGTCCTAGAGTAGATTTTGGCAGTAATCCAACAGAAACACAACATCTATCCATTATTTCAGGGAAGCCGACAGTTGAAGCTGATACGATAGTTGATATTTTGCATGCAGTAACTACAGGCTAACCCACACACGCAGTTGATAGAGTCCCCCCTCCCCCTGTGCTGTGCCAGCTGTGCTTTGGGGCATGCCGAACCCCATTCTGGGTAACATGATCCCAACCAGGGTGGCACTTACAGCGGGGTAGCATCTGCTGTGGGACTGTGGAAGCAGGACAACTGTGTCCCGGTCACATGCTATTATGTGTGATGAGCAACATAACTGTGTAGCGGTGGATGGCCGTCACTCCTAAGTGGAGGAGAATCCTTTACTCCTTTAACTGCTGACACAGTCAAATATTAGAAATCAATGTGGTTTGCGTGACTGTATGCTCCTGCCACCTGGTTAGAGGAGACTGTCAGCCTATTAGATTGGGTCTTATTTAGTGCTTGTCAGCATATTTTGCAAGGCTAATAAAATTGAACCGTGTCTTTGTGGCATTGGATTGGACCTGTGCATCTTTCACTGTAGCTGCTTTCCCCATTTTCACTTTCTGCTCTTGACCTGGTCTCTGTCCACAGATATTCCTCTTTTACCAAAGTTGTTTGGCACTCCTCTGGTCACACTCCTGATCTCAGTGTCCAAAACACACCTTGGAATCCTCTATGCAAAACAGGCAACACTTTTGTCTTGTGCCAGTGTGAGCTCCCATCTGCCGTCCTGGCACTGCACACACACATGTAGATTAACTACCTCATCTCACTACACACTGCTCCTGGCAAAAGCCAGAGCCCATCCACATAAACACACACACACACACACACACACACACACAGGATTGTCCTAGCACTTATAAAGGCAGCTCCAATGTGGTCTGACAAGAGATCAGGAGGCTCCCAGGACAGTCAGAACAGGACACCTGCTAACATTATAACCTCTAGGCTCTTTCATGAAGTGGTCAGGCTTGGGTGAAGTTACTGTACTTCTGATTATTAAAATAGCTGCATAACCTCAGACACATGCTGTACAGTCACAAGATGATGCAAAAGTAAAAAAAACATAAAACTAAAACATGCAAACTTAAACTGGCTCCAAGTTTCTTACAGGTGAGATCAATGGGGAAAAAAATCTATCCAAAAACCACATGGCCAGAACCGTGCTACCCAGTTTAATGCAGTTGCATACCCACCATGCGCCCTAGAGGACGTGCTAGATTGGACCATACTCCAGCAGCGGCGCTCGAGGTTTACGCAGGAAGTAGCAAACAAATTTGTTTTTCTCTCCACACCCAAAAGGGCTTATAATTAATTATTCAGCAAGTCCTTTGCTGTCCCTGCGGTGAAAGCAACATCTGTCATTTATTTAAAGCACATCAAGTCACAGGGAAGCAAGTCACAGACACATTACGGTTTTATGTTTCCATTCAAAAGTCTTAGCACACCTGCTGTTTACAAAATAGAGGATGAAAATGTCTCATAGAAAATTTTATCTTGGTATTCTCCTGTGGGAGCTCAACAAAAGTATTGTCCAAAATGAGCTTTGTCTCTTGGCTATGCCTGGAGAACAGGCGTCAGTTGGCTGAGGAGGACACACACACTCAGCTTGCAGCCCATCTTCATTCCTACCACTGCAAAAACTCTCCTCTGAAATCTTTACTTATATTCCAGAGTGGTGTTTATCTTCTCATCTGTCTCTTGAGAAAATCTGAAAAAGCATTTGTTTTCATACTTCACAAAATGCTTAGGCATTCCTTTGAAACATCCAGTAACAGAACTGGGCGCTAGTGCACTAAATCAGGGCAAACTGTTCCTTCCGCAAAAATTCAAACCACTGATTTTTATTAGAAATATTATAACAAAAAGAAACAAGCACACAAAACACTTATTTTTACAACTACATTTATTAAAAAAACAAAACTTAAAAATAGAACAACAACTAAAAAGTGGGGTCCCACCAGAGATGAGACAGTTTATGGTGAGAGACGTTTTTTTTTTTAAAAGCATACAAACCAGCAAACTTTAATCTAGCAGCATCCAAATGTTGGAATCTCCAAAATTATCATTTATATATTTAAATATATAGTTTTTTTGCCCTGGCAAGCTAAACACTTTACAACATACACAGAGCTTTATCTTCCTTAGTGCAGGAAAAAACCCAAACAAACAAACAAAAATTACCCTTAATAAAATAAAAAATTTTTAGGTTAAATAAGCTTAAATAATTGTGTTAAATACAAGACACTTCTGTGGCAGATATGTACAGAAATAAACACATTTGGCATTGTAAGTGTGGTTCACTGGCGCTTGCTCTAATGCTCTAGAAACCACTGCATAAGAACATATTTTGCTGTGATAAAACTACCCCCCCCCCCCCCCGCCCACACACACATTCACACACACAATTTTGTATCAGTGAGCCACAGACAAGGCATGTGTTAAAAGAACTAAACGCAAAGAGAAACAACCCATTTACAACCAAGAGTTTTAGGCACAGTCTCTTCCTGTTTTATAAATACATGTCAAATACAACTGCTTCTCAACAGGAACTCTTCACGTTTGTGCTAACTTCTTTTTCAATTCTTTTTTTAAACACAGTTTCATAACTACCACTTCATTATTGCTAGGACACTGTGACAGTGAATGGAAACTACTGACAAATGTGTTTAGGGAAAAGCACCTTTAAACATCAAAATTACTGCCATGTGACCCTACTTTACAACACCATGGGGGAAAAAGAAAAGTAGAATTCATTTAAAGAAAAATGGCCCAAAACCTTGAAACCTTTGTGGCTTTAGGCATCAGAAATCCAGAGAAAACAAAAGGGTCTCAGTTGAGCTACATTCATTTCCCCACCCCCGACAGTATGCTTTTCAAGACTGCCACATGTGGACTCCACTTGGTGCAAGCAGACAATAAGTACCACTTCATTATGTCCAGTACATTCCTCCCCTCTTCCCCTCTCTACTTTCCTGTGCCCATGAAAGCCAGCACAGAAATAACTGTGACAGCGTGCGCAGTACAATACAGTACAGCTGAGTATACAGTACAGCAGACTGACGTGACATACGTAGGTAGATTATATGTTGACTACAGTAAATGAGCTTTACATTCCACTACTGTAAGATGATCCCAGGGACTCGGCAGAGGGCCCCCAGGAGCTGCCTTCCTCAATTCCTGTCTGGTGCCGGAGATGAGGAAGCTTCCCAAGAGTCCAGACAGCCCTGCATTTCATACAGAGAAGGTTTCCAAACCTAAAAGGTCCAGATCAGAATTTCAGGTCTGTCCACACACGCCTGCACTGCACTCTCCTAAGCTGGAGGTTTTTAAAGTCCTGATTACTCCTGGGGCCGGTAGTGGTTTGTTTTAAAAATCTGTTTGCCTGTGGATCACCTGGGAGTCTTAAGTAGGAGTGGGTGCCTGGGAGGAGTGAAGGCCATCTCTCCCTCTTTCTCAGGGTTTCTTGTCGATGGTGTGAAAGAACCACTCTGTGAACTTCCTGAGCTGAGCCGCTGCCGTCTGGCTCTCTTCCTGCAGTCGCTTGTTGTCCTGTCTCAGGTGTTGCACCTCTTCTTGCAACATCGCCTTATCTTCTTTCTCCTGAACACACAAGTGTACACACAGTACACACACACACACACACACACACACACACACACAATTAACACCAAGACATGTGGCAGACAAAAAAGAAAGAAAAAAAAAAAGATACAGAAAAGGTTGATAAAAGTCCCGCTATTACAAGAACATCCGTTTTTCATCAGGGTTCTGTAAATGGGACGCATTAACATGGCAGAGCGGCCTTTTCTCTGTTCTGACAGAAGTGCATTTCCTCTTCATTTTAAGTACATTATTGGAGGCAGGGAAACGTTGGGCTTGGACACAGAAAGGAAAGGAAGCAGGATATTGGATAAGTGGACACGTTTGTATTACACAGACCTCAGGGCACCCATTATTCAGTGTCTATTCTTCAGAGCTGTGTGACATGGGAGTCCACTGTTTGCCAGCATGTAAAGGAAAAGCAAAAAGGTGATGAAAACATGAGAGTAAGATTGGGTTGACATGCGTGAACTCACCTTTCTGAGGTCATTTTGCAGCTGCCTGAGGATCACCTCCAATTGATTGACTTTGCCAGTTAGTGTAGAGGGGGAGCTGCTGTGGGGACAAGAAACAGGAAAGAAAGACATATATCACAAAAATAATGCAACAGTTTATATCAGGATACAGAAATGTGTGAATAGTTCTGTTTTCACATGGCAAATCTGTAGTTTACAATGATTATGGTGGCAGATTTCCCAAAGAAATTCTTAGTAATCTTTGCAGTGGCTCCTTGATTTCAAACAGACAGGCATCTCATTTCAGTCAGCAGACACTGATTAATCCACTCAGTACACCTTTGTGCTAGAATTTGTCATATCACCCTCTAAACTCTTGAGATATAGATTATCGCTCTTATTAGACTTTCATTACATTGCTTCATCATGTGGATACATCCAAAGCTTGACAGGCCTGCTCTTCTTAGTGACGGTTGCTAAGCTATTGCACAATCACTATCTGGGAAAGGGACTGAGCAAAGAGGCAATTAATCAGCTTGCTTCTGCAGGGGAGCTGCTGGTGTGGATGTGTTTAGTTTTAAAGCCTACTCTGCTTGCAGCGCTGCTCCCTCCGCTTCCGCCACCCGTCTAGTCAGCTCTCTTGAGATCTGCAGAGCCTCGGCTCGCTGCATGTCCGTCATGGTGCAGAATGAGGCCACGCGCTGGTCTGGAGACAGAACAGGTGATGTAACACGTCGTTAACATCAAAAACACAGGAAATGTGTTCAGCTACATGTTTCATTGTGTCAGCATGCAGCTAAAACAGAGGAGAACAACACACACACGCACGCATGCGTTCCTGACAGGATGGGGTGGTTCATTCATGCTTTGTATGAATGAATGGTTCTGGTTTAAGAGCTGCTGCGGAGCTAACAAAGGCAGGCAGCCCTCCCACACTGAGATCTCTATCCAAACAATGAGGAACAAGGTGGCAAAGAGACTTTTCTAGACCATCACAGATACAGTGAATCACTCGTGTGTCGCTCCAGTGTCCTCACCCCTCCTGACAGCTGTTTGGCTCATGTCGGGCAAAATCCCAGAGAGCTGTAAGGCACCAGTCATGCTTGTTTTACCATATCAGGCCCTTAAGCCCCATGGAAAACCCAAACTTGGCATGTTACGCCTGGGGACTGTTCAGCGTTGAAGCGTAATGCTGTTTTTTTTTGGAAACCACTCTCTTGCTCTGAGACTAAAGCTAGGAGGATCTGCATATTCATTGAAAAGATTAAGGAAACCCTTCCATTAATTTAGCTCCCAAATGAAAGCTAATCCACTCCAAGACAATAGCTGAACGAGCCCAGAGCTGGTTGTTCGGATGAGGCAGGAATGTGAGACCAAACTTTCATTTACATATGAATGAACATTTTCTTCACATTTGATGGCTGCACCAGAAAGATTAAAGACTTCGAGGAAAGCAGTGATGGACACAGAAAAGCAATTTGTCATTTCTGCCTGAGCTGCTGTCCAGATTTAGTGGACAAGTGCATGGAAACATGAACAGATTACACTGAAGAGAAAACACCACAATCTATGCAAGTGAACATACTTTGACATATTTATTAGTAAGGGAATATTTAAAACATATTCAGTTGTTTATGAAAAGAGCTATCAAAAGCTTTTTACTGTTGAAATTTATCAAAGCCTATTAAAGTTCCATCTGCTTCTATTTTCAAAAGTCAGGAGAGCAGAGTGTTTTTTTTTTCATGAATATGAGGAGTCTCTCAGGATGCACAGGATCAATGTTATGAATACTATAAATGCTTTACATCTCAGCCAGCAGCTCTCTCCCTGACTCCAAACAGAGCTGGCTAAACATACATGACACAATGGCAGCCTGGAGCCACTTTCTGCTCGGCAACAAGGCCCCAGTTTACACAGTGCTTTTCTGGACCGGCAAGGCTGCTGTGACAATTGCCTTCTTGCTGCCAGTCAGATTCTGCATCATCTCCGCTGACTCCACTCTCAAGTTATAAGTTAAATGATAGGCTGTGGGCTATGAAGCAGGACATGAATTAAAATAGAAACTCTACACTATGTTGCCTGTTTACTGGTCCCCAGGTCAGACAACGTTCAACTGGGGAAAAAAAAAACACACACACACAGCTTGGCACTTAAATTAGAAAGAAAAGGAACAGAAGTGATGATGCTGATCAGGAAGATGTGAGATGTGTCAATGCTAATTAACTGAAAACAGAGTGAGACTGAGTGACAAGACAGCTCAGGTTATCTTGAAAGACTGTAAATCCTCATAAATGTATGTGAGCACTTGACTGTCTCACTTGTACCAGAGTAAGGTGCCACCTATAACCACTACGCAGCCATTCAGACTGCATATAAGACACAACAGTTCACCTTAACAATGAAGATTTCTATTCCAAAGGAGAGAATCTGCCACTTTGTCTTTACTTTGAAGAACTAAAAATCTAACACTCAGTGGTTATTCAGACTTAATGGACAAAAAGATAAAAGAGGAGCTGAAATTACCCCAAACTATCAACCTGAGAGCTTAATAGTAAAAGGCCTCACTGTAAGAACTCTCCCTGAGTGGCTACCTGCTGGCTTTAATTTTGTGAAAATTGGGTCCATGTTTGTGCTGATGAATGACGGCTCATTTTTCCAAGTTACAGTGCTTAATGGGTGGAGCAAAAAGCAGGATTCCCAAAATTCACCTCCTACAGCATTTAGGACACACTGGAAAAACCACAAACACACAGTGCACACAAACCTACACACACAAGCCAGCGAGCTTTTGTAGAATACACACACACACACACGCACGCGCGCGCGCACGCTAAGCAGCCAGGAGGAGGAAGGGGAAAGGTTACACAAGGTGCCAGCAGCTTCAGCCAGGCTGGTTACCTTCAAAGGCTCGTGCTGCGTCAACCAGGTGAGACCAGTCCAGGCCCGAAGCAGTGTCTGGGAGGGGCATGAGGCCTGGGTCGCTGAACTTGGACCTGTCCGCCAAGGAGCCGTCAGAGAACCAAAACTCATCTGCAGAGACAGGCAGGCAGCCCGATCAGTGTCTGAGCCTGGCCTGAGTTTAGGGCTAATCTATGAGTTGCCCATCAGACAAGAGGGGTTGGGAGAGGAACGGAGAGGGGTGTAAAGGTCTGTGCTCACTACTCAGTCATACCTTCAACTCAAGTCCACCTCCAATAGGGATACGGCTAAATGACAAATCCTGCTAAAGACTGCAAACGATTTTAATTTTGAAAAGAAGAGTTTTGTGTAGATGTGGTAGCATGACAAGCTAGTGTCACCTCTCTGCATAGCACTCGCCAGACGCAATCTGAGAGGTGATAATGACTTGTCTAAGTGAATGTCTTCATGTTTCAATCAATATCTCCTTTCCCTCCCCTCAGTCTCTCTCACCCTCACTGCTTCCCCACCCTGAAATACATGGAATGTAATAAAACAAACTCCCATTCTGTGAAGAGGCATTCCAAAAAGCTTGAGTAGAGAAGAGAAGAGACAGAGAGAGCTCGAGGTGATGCTGACACTGTCCTTTCAATTTATCCAGCGTCATGGAGCTTGAGTGAACCACAGTTTACTAAATTGGGCTGTTTCATTAAGGGGAAGAGAGCCTGTGTTCCCAACTACCCTTCAAAACAATCAGGAATCCATCAGGTTGACAGCCAGAAGAGGCCACAGAGACAAACATCTTCGCAAAAGCCATTTTCTAACAACGGCAGCCAGTGACGGGTGAGGAACGGTATGGAAATGAGACAGGAGGGGCAGAAAGGGGAGGCAGGCAGGGACTGATGAGTGAATGAAACATTATGTATGACAGAAACTGTTACATTCCTGATGGAAAAAGAGAACTTAAAGACTTGCAGCGGCGCAGGCAGGACACATCACACCTCTCGTCACCAATACACATTCAGCGGATGCTGAGTGAACAGTAGAGAAGGGAATACTGCCAACAGAGACAGGTGTCTGCTTAATGCAGACAGAGCGGCGGGCCCCTTGCAAGGTGCACACCACTTTGTCCAGTTCCAATTAGTTGGCTGTATTGAGGAGCACTGCCAGAGTGTGCACCAGATGTGCTAATGATATTGGTAGGACAAGAGGCTCCTCAATATTATCTGGTGCCAGAGGAGAGGAATAATAATCCAAGAATAATATACAGAGACAGTCTGCATTAGCCCTCTTGTCTCTAAGATGCTTTTTAATAAAACAGTGCAGTTTTGTTGAGGTCAACTTTTGTAGACATTTGTAGGGGTTTCTTTTCCACCAGCTCATCGAGTAACAGTTTTACTGTCAGTACTTACTCCTTAGGTTGGATGCTCCTTGGTTGTGGATCATGCGAGGAGGCAGTGTGCTGTGGTAAGGTGGGGTGGTACTAAATAGGATATCATTAGGCATGGCTTGGTCCAGCATGGAGCTGTGCGAGCTGGCATACGATGAGCCTTTACGATTACTGCACACACTCTCATCTGACAGCGTTCGGTATAGGGAGCGTCTTGGTGATAAACTGCCCACTGCTGACCCCTAAGAGACAGAGAGAGAGAGAGAGAGAGATACTGCTGACCCCTGAGAGACAGAGAGAGAGAACAATTTGTCAAGCGATAGTCAACAATGCCATTGGTGGATGGCCCCATACTGGCACCTTCCCTATGCTTTGCCTTTCCATGGCACAGAAGGTTTAAACAAGCAGACAGCTGCATGAGGAAGGAGGCAACATCAGGGAACAGTGTCAGGAATCAGTTACAAACTTTCTCTCAGGAAAATGCAAATAGACTGAGCACAGCTGGACAGCATCTGGCAGAGAGGGGAAAAATAGGGGACAGTGTTTGTAGAGGTGGTGACAGGTCACTTGCCCTAAGCAGCCAATGGTCATTGAGCATCATGTGGAAAAATTGCAGAAAGCAAAGAATACATTTGCTCCAGGTTCAATAAAACTAGATGGAAAATAAAAATATAAGCTGACAGACTAGCCAGAGATGTATCTGCACCTGTCAGACAGACAAAAACAAAAGATATCAGAGCCAGACTCAAAGGAAAATTCAAAATGTCAATTTAATGCAGGGAGCTTTAAAACTCACTGTACTTTTAAATAAACTCAGCACATTTTCTTTTGGTTGTGCTCACAAAATAAAGACCAGTTGGCACAAATCAAGCAATCATCAGTGAAGCTGCATTCTACTTATAGAAACTGGATTTCTCATCTTTGCATATATAATCTAAAACAGTATTCATATCACAAAGTAAAGACATATAGAGGCCAATGCATGGCAATGTAGAGGTTACCAGGGAACACAAGGTCAGAATGAACAGTCACTGAAAGATGTAAAGGCTTGAAAAGTAGCACCGTCCTGAGGGGATGGATGTGCTGTGTGCACAGAGGAGAATTCCAGAGGATACCACTGGAGAGACACTAGAGTTTCATGACTGTGGCCAGACATTTGGATAGAGGATCTCCTATGAAAACAAACTGAGCCACAAAGACCAAGCCCATTCATCACTGTCCCATTTTGCTTACATAAATATTGCAAGAGTGACATCAAAAGTAGCCACAAATGATATGCAGGGCAATTGGCCAGATGGGTAAATCTCTGCCTTTGGCTTCCCAGCTGTAACCAACACAAGACTGGTGTCCCCACAAGCCAACACCCAGCCATCTCCATTTCAAAGATAGATCCCCCACAAATCCCGCAGTGAGAATTTAACAACCACCTAGTTTGTCTTTAAAGTGGAGATGTACACTCGAATTCAAAGCAGCATACATACAACAGAACATCTCCAATGCTTTAACTTAGCAGGGATGTCTCCTATTGCAGGTTCTCCTGCCAGATTTTACAAGATTAGACCCACTAAATTTCTCATTCATTAAAACAACTTTAATCAGAATTAGCTGCTCTCTCATATAAAGCAAAAACAGCACAGACTTAGAGCTACAGTAAATGGATTCATGATAAGTCCATTTGCAATAGGGCCTTATGTTTTTTCAGAAGTCATCTATTTATTACAGCATCAAATGAGGCTTTGTGAACACATCTTGGCACTGGTTAAGTGAACCTGCTGTGCACACGCAGCAAAGATTGTATTAACCAAAGCCTGCAAGATTATTGACTATGTCAGTGTGTCTAAATTCACCTAAGCTGCTAACAGTCCTCATCCTGATTTGGGCTGTCATGTCTGAATTGTTTTGCAGAACAACAACGCTCTTATCAGTTGAGGCAGGAGAGACACATCCACCTAGATTTTTCCCGATTTCCCTGACTTTCTTCCCTTCACTGCCTGCACCAAACAAAAACAATAATCAGCACTGGAACCCTTTGAAATGCCACTTGGGAGGATGTGTTGGACAACCACCTATTCAGTTGCCCTTTTTTTCTTTCCCACAGGAAGTTCAAAAGATGAATGTTGTGGGAGAATAAGCCATGGACGGCCTTTCCCTTACGTCAGCCATACAATAGCCCGCCCGTCTGTGGAAGGGCATCCCAGCGGACACAGCGGCTGGCAAAGGAAATCCCTCTGCACCTGCTCACCCACACAAAGAATAGCACAGGGTGACTAGCGGAAGTGACACATGCATTAACCTTTACTGTACACTCAATCTAATTACTGAGAAGATTAAACAAGTCAGACAATTAAATTAGAAATAAATCAGTGATGTTTCCAACATTGTCACTACTTTAGTTTGATTTCTTTATGTATATATAAGCTGATGATTGAAAACATGCAGTCCATGCTCTCAGAAAAGAACAGTGTGTGTTTAGTGGGAAGAGATGCTTTTCCACACACTGCATTAATTGCACTGAATCAGACTGGAGTGCGATATTACAGCAAAGATCATAAAACTCTTTGAATCTAACAAGCAGCACTGTGCATCTTTGTAGTGGTTACTGTGCTTTCCTCCTCTGCGGGAAACAAAACAAAACAAAATCACATGAAGGAAAATCACAGCGCACACCTGATACACCTGCTTTCATTTTAGATGGGCACTAAGGCTACCAGTTCTCTTGTGAACACGCTATTGTATATACTGCCAACCCAGTACACAATGGCAAGAGAAACTAATCAGTGCTGTGAGCAGCTCCATGTGGACAAGGCCTGATCGTGCCAGAGGACATGCTTGTCCACTCCAGGGATGAAGTGCATTTGTATTAGAATTGAGCAGTATCCAAAAATAACCCATGTCTCCAGGGTCCCTTCCTGGTAGGTAATGGATGAGGGATGGCACAGGACACTCATGATGCAATTAACAGAATCTGCAGGACTCAGGAACATCAAACATCAATGCACTCTCTGCAACATCCTGCCTTTAATCCATGACATCCCAACTGAGCAAGCTCAGTCCCCGCTATAAATTAAATTAACCAAACACTCTATGCCAGTCAGTGGGGAATGAAAGGGTCTCGGTTCAGGAGAGAGGAGTCCTATCATAGGCAGCAGATGTTGGTCCTGCTTTTACTTGCTTCCCAGCAAGAGGTTATCTGCTCTGGTTAAGGCCTTCTACAGAATGTAACATGCATGAGACACTAGCTTTAGGGTAGATCCTTACAATATCTTGTAATTCTGTCAATCATTACTTCACAGTTGCAACAAGTTTTATATGTCTCTGTGTTAAACAAAACCTCTCAGTGATCATGTAATTTAGAGATTAGTCACATTGGCCTCACCTTTTGACTCCTGTCTTCCACTGGAGGGATGTTGGGCAGCATCATTTTAAGGTATTCTTCTTTTGAAAGTCTCTGCAGTGATTTTCCATCCCGCTCAGGAGCCTGGAGCTGGCAGGCAGCCTCCTGTGCATACAGCTGCCTGGAGATGATACAGAGTGCACAGAAGAGCAGAGCTCATCAGTGAAGTTAGCCCACATCTTGTAAGGGAGGCCTTGGACCATCACAACTTGAGTTCATAAATGGCCCCAGCTATTTAGAAAATAATGTCAGTATCACACGAGGGGTTAAGGTAGATCCATTTTAGCATGCCATCTTAACATCCGGTTTGGCTGCTCCATGCTAGTCAGGGCAAGGTGGTATAAGAAAATTCATTTCCCAACTCTCCCCGTCCCATCTCACTCTGCCATAACCATGATTCAAGAGATTGTGAAGAACACAGAGATAGACAGGAAGGAAAAAAGAGCATTGGACAGAAATTACATCCAAAGACAAGTACAAACCATGGACTCTTGAAGAGTGTTCAGACAAGACCAGAGGAAGATATGAGAGCTGTTAGACAGGGTTGGAGAAGGACTCACAACAGATGAGATTTTGTTTTAGAGGTGGTGATTGTCAGGGGGCATTTCCAGAGATGAAAAGACCCCATTTTTGAGGGTGTTTAGAGGAGGGCTGCAGTCCAGAGTGACCAAACCAGCTGGAAAGCTGTGTGGCTGTGAGACCTCTGCTTTAAGTGAGCAGCCTGTGAGCGTGACACACTCAGTGCTGTTGGCAGGGTGCTACATGGCCACAAAGGGATATGCCAGACAATGGGACAGCCTAGCTGTGATGGTTAGTGAGAAAAGCTGAGAGCTGCACTGTTAAAAACACCATCCAAACAAGCCCTAAATCCATAGACACGTACTGAAAATATATAACTGCCAGATGCTTAAGCCACAAGATCTCTGGTTCAAAGTGGTTGTTCTATACAGAAGGCTGCATCTAGGAAAAATAAGTGCAATTAATTGAGCTCTGTTTACTCATGGCTTGGTGCTAAACCTGTTGGGAAACCTCCCCTTTTCTTCCCTCTCTGTGTCAACTTAGCTTATGACTAATTTATTCTTACATGATCAATCCATGATTACAGTAAGATTGCAAAGGTAAGGCCCTGACCTTTGCCTTTAGATGTTATTCTATTGTGCAACAGCATCCGTTAAACACCTAGATATAATAAATGTTGAGTATGGGTGTGAAAGACAAATTTTAATAGCAGAAAGAAACAAAAGACAGGACTTTTTTTTAGGCTTGGCTGAGGTGGAAAGCTTATCAAAATGTTATAGTAGCTTCGGTTTTTCTGCTTCTTCTACTGTGCACAAGGCATTAATGTCATGCTACCAATCACTGTACATGCGCAGCGCCTACAACAATGCTGGGTACGCATCATTCAGAAGAGACAGATTTGTTAAGCTTACTATGAGAGCAGCATGAAACGCCAAGATACATCAGTGCTCGATTAATTATGTGATCTTCTCACATCCTCTTGATTTGCATTTGCAAGTAGTGGATATAAACATACATCAATGCTCACATTTTATTTTGCTGAAATGTCTGATTCGATATTCTAATATAAATACAACTGGAGAGATTCAGAATATTTTGGATCAGGGTCTGACAGGCACAGGAATCAAAAAATCCCCCAGCCACTGGTTGCCGTGTGCCACACGGCGGGACCAGCAATTTCGACCTGGGGTGGGGTGGTGGTTTGGGACAAAGAGGAGGGAGCGGTGTGTAGTGGAGCAGGCTGGGTCAGATCAGGGCCACAGGGCTGACTTTGACTATGTACCTTGAATGCTCAGACAGCATTTGGAAAAGGAAAGCTAACAAGGTCTCTGCACCTCTGGAGCAAGAAGCATACGCAAGAGAGAAACAGCCTGGGGTTAGGAGCATCGTTACACATCCTGCATTATATATAGTGTTAGAGCAAATGAGAAAACTTTTTAGAAAGGGGGAAGAGAAACTTCATTATGTTAGAACAATATCTGTGAGTAATATTAGGCCATTTATCATGAGGCGCTGTTATGTAAGATGAAATAAAACTGCAGGAATATATAAACAAACAATGGGAAGGGTAACTGAATTACAGAGCTTTTTCATAAGTTGGCTGAAGATGACTCCAGTGCATGCGATCAATCACGTAGCCCTTCAGTGGCAAATTTCACAGTCTAAATAAAATTACCTGGGAGCTCAAGCCAAGGGTTTCTTCCAGAGCAAATCTCACATTCTCTCCTCAAAAATATGCCCCATGCAAACACCTTCAGTCAGTCAAGCACGCACGCACACACACACACACACACACACACACACACACACACCTACACTTGCACCATGCAGTGTTTCAATTTTACTCTCAATGACTCTGTTCTCTACAGAAAACCATTTAATCATCAGACAACAGACAGATACAGTCAGTCGTGGCTGCTCATATAAAGTCTGAGGAGAGTATACGATGTAAAGCTCACTGAGCGACTGTAGAGATTCATCTTCCTTTATGATACTTCTACAGGGTATTTTGTAGCTGCTGTCCCCGAGTTGCATGTGTGACAGCAGTGTGCTACTGTGTGTGGATTGCTGCTGGGCTCCCAGCAGAGGATGTTGATCTGGTAGAGGCACAGCCTGGCAGTCCACGGGGACCCGGCTTCACGGGAACGATCAATAACAACAAGTGACATGTGCCAAGTGTATTATGTCCGCGGCTTCATTGAGCTTATTTATTTTGTGGCTGTCAGCTTCAATCATGGCCACTTTATGCACACTGAATTGGCTGTGGTTGGCAAGGACTTGGATTAGAATGCGTCTGGCTCAAGTCTGGGAGGAAACAGCTCCACAGTGAGAAAAACTGTGCTGACGAGGTGTGTAACGCAAAGTTAACCATGTGAAAAGGAACTAAACTGTAATACCTTTTTCATGTTTTTGTGGTAGGACAGAATATTTGGTGATGTTCTCTAACATTTTCTCAGTTTCTTTCTCTCACCCACACTCACCCACACTCTGAAATGTTGGGAGATCCCTCATTGCTGTGGGCATCATCATCATCATCATCATCATCATCATCATCATCATCATCAGTCAGCTTCATGCCCACAGGGAGTTTGCAAACAGGCTGTGGCCGTGTCTGTCCACAGGCTTCTGAATTGGACCCCGGACCTTGACCCAGCTCTGGCCCTAGCCCTGAACTGCTGGTCTGGGGGACGGTGTACACCTTGGAGGAGTCAGCGGACATACAGTATCTGGCACCACGGGCCAGGGGACTGCCAGAGTGGTGTGAGCCACTAATCAGATGGCACAAAATAGAAAGAAAGAACAAAATACTTATGATGTAACTCAAAAGTGACCACAAAATCATTTCAAAAACAGAGAAAAACAAACATAAAATCATAATGAAAACATAAACATTAATATAAATGAGAAAGGCTAATAGCAACATAGCTAAAGGTGAGAGGCTGAGAACTGGTAATGAGTTTAAATTCAAAATGATCTTTTTAAACTCAGCGCTGATATTGGCTTAGAAAGGATGATAGGATTAAGGATTAAGTGACTGTTTAAAATTATAATCCATAAAGGAAAAAGGAAAAAATAAAAAGTGCTCGCTCAAGTAACAGCAAGTGGATTATGTCTAAGATGCATTTAAGAGTTACTTGGAAGTGAGTCACAGACAATCAAAGATCGCTCCTCCCGTCTTTCTCTTGTTTACTCACTCTGTCAAATGCAATTTTAAAACATTCCTAAGAGCAGCACATCTTCTCTAGCTTCCTATTCATCTCATCAGTTATATGATGGAGGGCATCTTCTCCTTTATGTCGCCTGCCAGTAAGGACTGAAGAAGGCCCTGAGATTTATTTAACTGCACAGGTTCATAGAAATGTCACATTTCAATCTTAATATCTTGATGGTGGCTGGAAAGCTTTCAGCAAACATAAAACACTGTTCTATAAATACCCTGAGACATGAGAGCTGGCTTCAGATGGAGGCACTACATACTCCATATCATTTCCATATTCATGACCATCTGGGCCACACCCTGCAAACTGTGCTCCTGCTGCTTCACTGTTTGTTTAAATGACACGCTGGTGTCAAAGACCATCACATAAAATGTGGGAGGCATCGGAGCAGTCAAGGTGATGGCATGAACTCTTTCCTGGTTTCTGAATGATATCCTGGAGTGGACACTTCTGACGCTTCCCAAACAGGTCAGTGATCTGGTCAGATTGTGGTAACATAATCCTGTATGGCATCAACAAATAAATACCCACTCTATTTCATAGAGACAGACAGAGTGGCTGCAGGGCCAACACTCTCTGACACCCCTCCTCTCTCCCAGATGGGCCCCAGTCTGGTGAGGAGCACTCGGACGGTGGTGCTCCACCCTGACAGCGGCACCACCCACCGGCTTCAGCACAGCTGGATAAATCGGGCTGAGGGTCAAGAGTGAGGAAGCACAGTGCGGTGAAAAGGTCACTGAACAGCTAGCAACCATGCTTTTATGCATGTGTGTACCTCTGTGTGTGTTTAACAGAACAGATTATGGGCTGAACATACAGTGGTGTATGTGTGAATGTTCATGAACATGTGTAAAGCCAGTGGATGGTGCTCTGAGCCATATACCATGAAAAGGGTGATTTTCCTCAGCGGGCAAGTCAGTGATCCAACTCACTGGAATTAAACACAATAGAAGACATCTCCCAGAGAAAATATCAGTCATACAACTGTCTAAGAAACTAAAGGAACAGCCCACATAGAGGTGCTGGGCCTCCAAAACAGCATCAGAGCTCCATGGCACAGAGACCACGGAACGCTGTCATTCTTCTAAAACATAATCCCTCATTAGTGTTTTGATGATAGGTATGGAGAGTGCTTTCTAACATGTCCATTCAAAATATCCAATAGACCTTTAATTTGGCTGAGACCCGATGACTGTGATGTTAACAGCATATGATATAGTGCACATTTGACCCTGCATGTAAGAACCTATGGTCTCTACTTATTTATCAGGTTTTTCATGTCTTTATCTAAAGCCAAGGCAAAATTTTTGTTACCCCAAAGACAAAGTGTAGCAAAACAGCAGCTGATGATGTTAGAACAGCTGGAAATGACACATCTGAACAGCCATTTAGAAAACACACAAACTATTTGTGCACTGTACCTTGAATGGGATGAGATCTCGCTCAGGTCTCCAATGCTGCCCTCTGTCACATGACTAGACATAATGGCAGAAGAGTAGCCCTGTGCTAAGTACAGTTTCCCATGATCCTCCTCCGATGCGCCGTCCTCATGCTGCTCCGACACCCAGGGATGTCCCTGCTCGCCCATCCGGCCCTGAAGCAACACCCGGGCTCCTGGGGCCATGCATGGATTAGTGTCAATGCCGCTGTCTGTGGATGCTCCTTTGATGTAAGTGAGGCCCAACATATCGGGGTCCATCAGGTCTCCAGAGCCAAAATGTTTATCTTCACTGTTGCTGGAGGCATTACTTGAGAGAGTGTTGCTACTTGAGTGGCTCGAGTTTTTATCACCCATCTGGTTACGAGAGAGAGAGAGAGAGAGAGAGGGCGTGGGGGTGGGGGTGAAGGAGAAATTAATACCAAAAGTCAAATGAGGTTAAACAGCAGCAGTAAAATATTTTTATGGTTATTTTAACATGCTTGGTGCCTAAGACAGAGAAGGGTTTGTCTATCAGGCTACATTACATGTTCACGTGCCCCTGAGTGAGGCGACCATAATACTGTCGAGCTACTTGACAGCAACAGGAATGAATACAAACAAAATGTGCTAAAACATCACATAATTTTGTCTGTGACCTCTTAAAACCTGGAATTTACAGTATCTGAGAAATCCACAAGATGTGGGCACCTAAAGCTCGTTTAAAAATGATGTATAATGTTTTCAGGAACTACATAAGGTCAGGCAGACTTGAGTTCACAATTTGTTGACCCAAAAGGACACAAAGGCCTCACAGGAAGGAGGTCAATGCTTGTTTGGAGAATAAAAACTAAGACCTCAGGATTATGACCTGTAATTATTATTAACCTTTATTTAACCAGGATATAATACGGCCCATTGAGACCTAGGGACTGTTTTACAAGGGGTCTTGTTATTACGCTATGATATGCTAAACAATGGAAGAAAGTCTATGTCAAAAAAAAAAGCTCTCTGCATTAAGGACATTCAGTGCCAAGGGGACGGTTTAAATTTGTATCCTCTGGTCGGGGTAATGCAGCACTGGTTGAAAGAAGTTTTTAGCTGTACGCCTCCAGCATCAAAGGAGGAAGCAAAGAGAAAAGGTGTTTGGGCCTCAAAAAAGGGGGGGTGGGCTTATGGAAAAAAGGGGAGAAAAGAGGAAATTGAGAAGCTGAAGCACTTAATATATTCAACCTTTTAGGAAAATGTGTCCTAGAAAAGTGTGAAACAACCAGAAACTATGATGAGATGAGACGCCCTTTGGCATGCTGATGAGGGGAAAATGATAAGTGCAAAGAGCAGCTAGAGGGGACGACACGAGTTTGAACAGTTTGCGCTGCTGATTGCTACAAAGCCCATAAACAAGGGCAATTTGACCTCACTGATTCAAACACCTACTATATGTGTGCTAAACCGGGTCTGACAGTGCCGAGTTGGACAGCAAGAAAACACACATGTGGCACACATAGTAAACGTAGAGGCTGCATTAAACTCAGAGCTTTCAACAACAAACTTCTGATCACTTCTGACTTCACACTGAAATCAAAGCAGGTCAGATATTTACCCTGGACAGCTTGTTGGGTGAATCTTTGCCTCCTTCTCTTTGCTTCAGAGGGTTCAGGATCTTGGTGGACGGGATGTGCCATTTAGCCTCTGTGGACCAAGGAGAAAAAGCTTAGTGTAGAGAATTGGCAGATATGACCAGGCAGCAAACCTAAAGTTAGGCTCATATGCCTTTTAAAAAATATTTATAGGCATTACTGTGTATGCACCTGAATCATGACTGCTTAGATCAAAAGAAAACAGACATACCTGCAGACCTGGTCCTCTCCAGAGTGGGCTCTCTCTTCCTGGGGATCTCTCCATCTCCACCCTGGATGTCGCCTGCACGCTCATGGAGGACAGGGGAGGAACAGCTGCAGAAAGAGAAGGACAATGGGCTGTAAATTATTTTCCGTCTATAGAGTGAACTCTATATTCTAGTAAGAGAAAAGCTTCAGCAGATTTACCACTGATGTACGGCAATTAGCTCAAGATCATTTAAGGTTAAATCATTTGAGCTTGTAATAGAATAAAGAAGTTGCTAGACAACGCTGATGAGAGACCTCTTTTCATGCATGCCAGGCACTCTCTTGCTCTTGACAAAGGGGAAAGAGCAGCACATTTTTCAAACGCAGGTCTTAAAGAGCTAATAAAGGTTACAGCAAATGAGCAGAGCCCCAGAGTGTCTTGTTATCTTTAAAGACCCCAATTGGAGATCAGTGGGGTAGTTAATAAGTGTGTGGCTCTGCATCGCGGAAGTTCTGACTAAGCACACTGATCCCTGAGAGTTCAGTGCAGTTCTGAGGCTTCTGACAAAAAGGCAGCCGTGTGGAGCTGAGCCTCGTCATGGTCTGTAACCACTTACAGAGAAACATGAGTCTCTGATAGATTCTGCTCATGTACAAGCCTCAGCCTGACAGATGTTGCACCTGTGCAGTCTGCAACCTTACAAACCAGTACATTGCTGAAAAGGAAAAGGGGCAGAATATTTAAGAGAAACCTATATTAATATGTACATTACTTTAAGGGAGATGAAACATATTAACAGAAAATTTTCATGAATGAAACTGTGGTGGTTATAATCATGCTGACAAGGTCTCCCTCTTTTTTTTGGTAGAATTTCAGTTTTATGGGCCTATTTTTTATTTTAATATGTTCATTTCAGTGGCTTTTTTTTTTTCAAAATGACAGTGTAGTATGCTAAAGTGGCACTTCAGTCATATTAGGAAATAGTGAAGGACAAGATATAATCTTTATAATAACTTCCTCCTATACTTAAGTGCTCATCCTTTTTAAATCTTCTGAGCAGAAGAAGGAAAATGTGCTCTGAGTTACAACAATGAAAGTCTTTATGTTCTTCTGAATAAAAGCATGATACCAAGGCTTTGGGGTGATTGAATGGAACCTATAATAATGCATGTTAAATGAAAAAAAAAAAATCATACATACAATTCGTCATCTTCCAACATGTTCTCCCTTTCATTATTAGACCAGACCACGCACATTTTTATTGTTTCTTTGGATTGCTTCATGCAAAAAAACAAGATAAAATAAAAAGTATGATGACTGGCCAAAAGCACACCGATGATTTGGTCATTTTGTGTAGAAAAATTGCTGTCATTTTGCCAAATTGCAAGTCCTCAGAAATAGTGCTGGGGCTGATTGTAGCTGCATTCATTATGGCAAAACCGCACGATCCTGCAGGGAATGCTCAGAGGTGATTTTGCTGTGGTACCGTACCCATCATATCCAGGCTGCTGGGACCAGGTGCTACTGCCGCAGGGTCCTGGATCACTGGAGGAGGACTGGTTACTGGGAGAACTGCGGTAATGCTGGTCTCCCATGTTGCATGATGTGACCTGGGGGTTCTCCATATCCTGAACTGTCCTGGGGAAACAGAGGTGTAAAAGATAAGGTCTTAAATGCAGTGCCATAGATTGTCACAACTTGGGCTGAATATGAAATTATTATATGCACTACATTTTGGCCTACATTTAATTGCCTATAAAATGTAAGAGAGTTGTGAAAAAAGACCATTAGAATTTCCCAGAGCCAAGGTGGCATCTTGAAATAGCTATTTTGTTCAACAAACAGACCAAAACCAGAAGATATTTAATTTTCAGTGATATAAAACCAAATAAAAACAGCGAATCCTCACTTTGAAGTGATTATGATTAGTACTTTATCTGTACTGATTATTACTTGAACCAATTTTGTAGATAATGTCTCAATGAGATTTTTGACTCTAGAAGCTGAAGTTTCACAACTTCACACACGTGTCCCTCACTGTCAGGGTCCAGAAAAGTTTGGACTGTGTGCCCAGACTGGAGCACTGACTCAGAGAAGGGCGGTACGTTTGAAATACATGTAAAAAAGTATTAATACTGTTAATAGTGTTAATTAAACCCTTATTTAGTCCTGCATCATATTTTAACTCTGACCAGATGGCACCAGGGGTGGCATTCACTGTCCAGCATTAGTGATTAATCCAGTGAATAGTCCCTTGTGTCTGAGGACTGTGAATAAACCCTAGGAAAATGCAAGAGCTGTTAGTGAGGGAGAAGGTGTCTTGTACTTCCATAGACAAATGGAAAAAGAGATCTGTTATGATAATAACTGATCCAGATGGTGAAGCCCTGAGAGTATGTAGCATAAAGACAGGAGTAGCTTCTCAATGTAAGAGGACACTTGAGCTTTTCTGCTCTGAAACACAAACTTGACTCTGCTCCTGAACTATCCATTAACCCATGAGCTCTTAATGAAGTTTAGTCATTTACCTCCGTCAACTGTGACCATTATCTTTGCTCAACCGATCCAAACTGCATTTCAATCTCTTGCAATAAGCACTGACCTGACTTAATATCATGAAACAAGGGTTTTTTTTTTTTCTTGTGTTTGCCTGGCCAGGAAAAACCTTCAGCCTACGGTGTAGAGTGAATAATAAACACTGAATTAGAGTTATATTTCTGCTGCCTAGAGGCTTTCCTTTTAACCAACAGACTGGTTATTTGACCAGACGGAATAAGACTGCAATAACATAGGCTGGATGGCTTTCACATTAAGCATCCAGATAGGTCTAGTTGTATATTCTGTGCCGTTGATTCTGTTTTCTGAGGATTTGGTCTCTATTAATGTGATTTTTCAAATGCATAAAACTATATCCAGTAGAAATTCCAAAATAAGATACAAACATCCATTCAGAAGGTTACAAATATTACACATCAGCCTCTTTTGCATTGTCATCAGGTTTCCTTTGTCTAGAACTCCAGGGGAAACTCACTAAACTTTCAGTAACTTAATCGCAGCCCACACAGCTGAACACTGTGGCTATACTGCTGCATTTCATCCCTGGCTGAAGTCTCCTCAGCCAGGCCCAAGCACTTTAATGTGAAACAGCAGAAGCTGCTTTTTGTTCTTGGCTCCTCCTTCACTGACATAATGTAAAGTTCTAGGAGGAATATGGAATGTAATTTTATTTCTCAGCAAATAACATCTGAGGATACAGAGACTAGTGGTTAGTCTCAGATGGCTGCATAGTCGGTGTCATATTTTACGGTCTTTAAGATTCATATGCACCCTATATATATCCATCGTTTCCATTTTTTCCCTTTTATTAGACATCTCCCCACAGCCCTGGCAGAAGAACCCCCAAAATGTTCATCTGAATTTAAACTAGGTGCTAATTAATATTATTAATTATACAAAAGTGGATGTTATTATGATAATGTTTAATATAATAAAACATGTCCTACTACCCAATCCACTGTGCACCGGCCCCTTACGGATCCTCCTGCAGGTGGTGGGCCCACGGGCGGACGTCCCCACGTTGCTCGTTCGGGCTTAGCCCGGCCACCTGGCGCTTGCATTCGAGCCCCAACCCCGGGCCTGGCTCCAGGGTGGGGCCCCGGCTGCACCATGCC